CCCCTTGCGCGCGGTGAAAGCCGCTGTAAGGTCTCCCCGGAGCCTTCTCTTCCCCAGGCTGAACACTCCCAGCTCTCCCAGCCTGTCCTCACAGGGGAGGTGTCTAGAGACTTCTTACTAGGAGGAGTCTTGCTTCAAAAGAGGAGGTCTTGGGATGGTAAAGGACAGGCTTTCGGGGGGCAAGGAGATAGACTAGATGTGCTGTTACTCTTAAGTTCTTGCCACATCTGAATTCAGCGAGGGCAGCTTTGAACACACCCGGCTGCGCCACGTGAGATCTTGGGCTGCAGTGCTTTAAGGCACAGGAGACAACTTCCACCTTCTCTGGAAGCGTAACTGAGACATCCCCACTCAAACTACAGGGAAAGCCACGGCCAGCTGGATTGCTGGGATCTCCTGCAGCCCGGTGTGCTTCAGCCTGGCACTCCGCACGCCCTGAAGGAAGATGTAGGAACCTCCTTCTGCGCTACCAGGAAACACAGAGGTTACACTCAGTGCCTCTTGGGCCAAGAACTTCCAGAACTGTTAAATATGTAAATGCTGTAGGACAAAATTACTTTTCCAGGTTTTATATGTAATTATCAGAAGTGACATTTTAATATGAATTGCTTTTTTTTTTTTTTTTTTTAATCAGAAAAAAATCAGCCTGTGGAAACATGGGAACTGCTGCTTGATAATTAAGCGGTCCCTGCAAATTCGTACAAGAACTGCAAGGATTCCCTCACCAGGCCTTCCTTCAACCCGTAATTGCTTCCATACCATCATTTCCAAAAGCGTAGGCAGTCGATACATCCCTATGGGCATTCGGAAGCGCAGCTGCAGGGCCTGCTTTGGGCGAATCAGTAGAGGGGATGCTCAGAGGTCTCTGGTGAAAGGGGAATAGACGGTGGTGGTGTAGAAAGCCAAACATCTGGGAGACGGCTCGACAGCGTCAGCCTTCTCCATTGCTTTCTGGCATTCGGACCTGCATTTAGACAAGTTGGCAGCTCCCCCTGCATGCGGAGGAGCACTTGCAACGGCTGCCTGAGCCCCACCTCCTTTGTGACTCGCTGCTACACATGCTAGAAACATGTCCACACAATTCAAGGGATGTATTTTCTCAGGGCGTTCTCTGAGGCGTGCACCAGAGGAACACGTTCTGATTGCCAGGCAACATTCAGAGCCCAACCTTGAGCAACGCACTGGGGAACGGGTGCAGGATGAAGTCCAAAATCCAGGAAAGGTGATAAATTGACTGAAGCAGCTCACGGAGAGCAGGTCAGGCAGGCGTAAAATTTATTTATACTCTGATGTTCTCACAGCCCTGATGAGAAGATTCAATGCCAGCAAGGAGAGCCAGGTAGGCAAACCCTGACACGAATGTCCTGAGCCCGAGGGGGATGTACATGTGTGAAGCACACACATCTGCATCCCCATCCACATCAGGGCGGCCCAGCACCCTCACCGGGCTGTCCACAGACTTCAGAGCAGGCACATAAACGTTCTTGCTTTCGAAAATCTTCTCCTACAAATGTAATACAGATTTATTTTCCCTTTTTAAGTTGGAAATGTGATTTTCCTAACAGAAGTAGTTTAGCGGTTCTTACCATCTGGAGCTAAGCACTTTTACAAAGAAGACTGCAAACAGAAGGATTTCGGGGAGTTTTTTTTGGAGCATAAGTATAATCACATTTAAAATCATTACTCTCCTGTTGACAAGATCACAACTTAACTCTTCTTCTGCTACAGGGAGAGAACACAGGGCTTAGTCCTGTAATCGGGTCCACATGGGTGAACACTTGCCCCTGTGGACAATTTTACTGAGGCCCATCCAGTTCACGCTTAGACGGTCCGTATGCACGGACTTCATGCATCTGGGAGACCACAGGCCCAGAAGACCCGCAGTCGAACAGGTGAACATGCAGCTGACTTTCTTGTGTTGCCATCACGTTGTTCTTAATGGCACTAACGACAAAAAGTAGTTGTCGAAAAGAACAGTCTCACATTTCCCAGACAGAGGAGATGAGCCATTTTGTAACCTGGCTGCTGCTTAGGACTCCTCTGCTGTCCCAGTCCAACCCATACACCTTTGACCATTAACCTAGCAGCTGACAAACAGTCTCTGAATCAGATTCCTCCCACACTGAGCAAACAGGGAGCTGTGGAAGGGGACGTGACCAAGGAGCTCCTGGTCCCACCGTGACGAAACACAGGCCAGCCTTCCAGCAGTAACGTCCTCGGCTGGTCACTGATGGCAAGCAAGAATTTCAAAAAGGCTTCCTCAAACAAGCAGTCCAGAAGTCTGAACAATTTTCAAGGTGCCTCTCTACTCACAGGAAGTACTGAGTCGTGGGTCACTCAAGGGCTTTAAAAATCTCCTGGGTTTCCTGCTCACTATAACCTAGAAGGTCAGCAGAGACCGACTGCGCCTTCGCGTCCTCGCTACCTGCCCTCCCACTGTTCCAAACTGTAGTGTTCCATGTCTTGTCATCAGCACAGCACACTAGGTAAGCGTAGCTCCCCAGCCCTCCCACTAGAATCCTTATTTTTTCAGCCCCTTGGATGATTTTTGTGGGTTTATTCCTTCCCTGTTTATTCTCTCCCCCACCAGCCTTAGAAGGACAGGATTCTGCTGTCCACGCCGCAAAGACAGCCAGCAGCCCTTCCCTATTTCTCCTTTTTGGACACATTCAGAGCCTGTATCAGGAGGCTTTTAGGCACAGCCTGCACCGGTGGTTCATGTTGAAGCAATTCTTTGACCCCTACGTCCCTTCCCAAGCCACGCAACTCACAAGCCAGCCTTCCATCCTACTGGCCTCGCTCGTACTCTTGTGCTCCCCATTGTCCTGGCTTGTGTTTTGCTGTATTAAACCCCATTTTGCTGGACTGAAAACATTTAACCAGATGATTCAGATCACCCTCCCATGAAAAGATGGTCTGTTTACTATCGACCAACCCAGGAACCTTTGCACTAACGGCAAACCTCACCATACAGGATTTTATATCATCACGACGACTGCTGATAAAGAGAAGAATCGATCCCCAAAGACCCCTTCCAGAAATGGTCCTCCTCCACACTGCCATCCCCGTCTTAACGGCTGCATTTTGAGACCTGTCGATGAGACAGTTTTAAATCTACCTAACGAGCGCCCTTCAAACGCCGCTAAGTGCCAGATTTTAAAAATTAAAATATGAAGGTGATGCTAAGCCAAAAGCCTTACAGAAAGGCAGCTGGACTACACAGAAATGCACACGCTGGACTCGCTCATCTGTTTCTCTTTAAAATTGGCTACAGAATTTTTAATATCCTTAGTACACTCACCAAGAGAAGTTAAAAAACTGGATTTAAATTCACATAAAAGTTTAAACTGATGTAAACCCCACTAAGGATCTGCAGAAATTTAAATAGCTTACTGTCACACTGTCACTTCTGCGTGGATCAGGCGTGAGACTGAGCCTTGCCTTGGTATCCAGTACTTCTCCATGCAAATGCAATGCCAAGTAAGGTTTTGGAAGGCATCAAAATTAATTGATTTCTCCAGAGAAAAGAGAAATTGGTGGCTATGATTTAGCATGTTCAGTGTAAACGAAGGTGAGACCAGTGTCAGGAAAGAG